GTGTCGAGTGCAATTGATTCGATAACGCGACAAGTATTTGTATAACCCATGGATAAAATTATATATATTTTATCTATGGGTCTGATCACAGTTACTAAATATAACAAAATCTAAATTGTTTATCTATGTTTGTTCGCTTATCAAAAGAAATAGTATTTTTGATTATTTAAAATGAGACTAAGTGGTTGACGAATATAGTTTTTTTATGTCATTAAAGATAGTTCCAATAACAAATAACAAATAATGTTCATATTATTATTAATATACCATGTTTTATGCTATTAAACTATTATTATTAAAAAATACATTTTTTTCCCCTCAAAGATCGCAGGCACGTATATTTATGTGAAAAAGGATCATTACATTATGAATGTTTAAAATGTCGGCGCAGGTGGTGCAGCACGCGATGCGCATGTGCGTGTGGTGGGCGCGTGGGGGTGGGGACGCGGTGGCGCTGGCCTGGTCGCTGCGCCGTGCCGCTCCGCGCCTGCTGCTCGACGACGCCGAGCCCGCCGTGAGTGGCCCTCTCGCCCCTTGCACTCTCGCCCCCTCGCCTCCTCGCCCCCTCGCCCCCTCGCCCCCTCGCCCCCCCTCGCCCCAATTCTCCTTTGCCCCAATGTCCCCCTCGCTCCATCGCCCTCTCACTCCCTGCCCCTCGGACGGGAACGAAACGTCTACGGAGATTTTTTGCAGTCATTAGATGATTGTTTTCGATTGAACCGATTTTATGTCATTGTTTGACGGAAATAGATTCAACCATTATTTATTTTACTGTTTATTTTCTGACGTTTCGAATTCTTTATAGCGTTCATGCTCACGGAACGCGTTTACCTACTATGTTGGTTTGGTTCACAATTACAGTAAGAGTTGTGCGGTTGTGACTTGCTACACCTATATGTCAGATTACGATCTCGGCCCAAATGAAATTACCATTATGGTTGTATCTTTATTTGTTTGCTTCCTCAAAGCTTTGCCATCCATGAAATGATTTAAATAAAATTGCATTGGTTTAGCTACCATGCAGTCCCATATTGATATCATTAGTATTGCACCTTGGACCCCGGAGATAAGTCAAGGAAGTCCTCAAAAGACTACTAGAAAATTTATAGTGAGAGAGGTATTTGAAGTCGGTTTTGTTTACTGATATTTTTCTTTTGTAAAAACCATGCCCTTACTGTAGGATAACTTTATCCTGTGCCTCAAGTACGTTTTACATACACAAATTTCACGTAGACAAACACCCAGATCCGAAACAATCGTCTGTTCAAAACAGTTGTCCCGCGTGGGAATCGAACCCACGACCGCCGACGCTGAGGCACATACCTTGACAACTGCCATGGATTCATCATCTGTGTCTGTAACGGGGGTTGTTATTTTATCTCATTAAATCTCAATTATACGCGCAGGTGCGCCGGGAGGCGGGCAGCGCTCTATACCGGCTGTGCGCGGGCGGCGAGGTGGCGGTGCTGGCGCCGCTGCTGCAGCTGCTGCTGGAGCACCTGCCACGCGCCGCGGACATGCGCCCCCACCACCCGCACCACCACCACCACCACCACGAGGTAGCGCCACGCCCCCACTTCCCAAGCTGCAATGTTTAGTTTGTAAATGAACTGAGATGACATTGAAAGTCGGCGTTATGGCTACCACTGTGTGATTTATAACGTTTGTGTTGAGCCATTTTCGTTGCTAAATTATTTTGTTTTATAAATTTACTAGCCGTTAACCGCGGCTTCGCCTGCGCGGTCTAAGGTAATTAACAATGAGTTTTTTTATTATACACCAGAATTATAGGAAAAAATTCTGCCATCTGCAAGCTACACAGATGGCCGAATTTTTTCCTACTTAATTTTCATTACTTTTCATTACTATTACTTAATTTACATTTTACACAATATATTCATAAATTATAGCCTGTGTGTTATTCTGATGTATAAGCTATATTATTGTGATTTGTGACTGTCTATGATGACACAATATTATCTTTTAAAATATCATTCATTAACTGAACAACGCAGCAAAATTATCGAGCTTTAATTTTAGACAATTTAAGAGCTTTAATATTAATATTATGTGTTGAAATCTTAGGTCGTTCATCATCATGCCGAAGAAGGTAAAGAGCCCTATGGCCCTGCGTGTCGAGACTACTTCTGGCTAGTTTGCAGGCTTATAGACGGACTACCCGAAGACTTTTTCAAAGGTAAACATTGTATTAACCTTTTTTTTTAATTAAGGAAAAAGGTGGTTTGTTATACCATGACCATTTATAACGTCAGTAGGCATCGTATTTGCCGACCTCATCGCCCGTGGCTCTATATGAGTTTTATTTAACCTATGCGTTAAATTGTAACTTTTAGATGGAGCCACCTCCGAAGATAGCGGGGCGCCGGATCTGAACGAACTGTGTGAGCAGATTCACGTGTCGCTCGAGAAAAGGGAGATAATTGAGAAGCGTTCGGAGCCGTGCACGCCCGACGACGGGCTGTACGGGCAGCTGAGCCTGCTGACGCATCTATTGAAGCACCCGCTGAGGTTCAAGACCTCCGAACAAGGAACAAGGACATTAGAAATGGTGGGTTGACACATTTTAACCTGAACACGTGTTTAGGCATATAATAATTTTCACTTCCCAAGCCAAACTTTATTCAATATAGGCTTGTTTTGAGCTCTTATTGAACGACAAAAGCTACCACAGGTTCACTAAATTAGACCTCTCCAGAGGTGAACCAGCAAGGAATTCTGCGGTCTTGTTATCTTTTGTTAATTATATAAATAAAAATTAAAGAAGAAAAATTTAGGTATAAAATCACAGGGAAGTGCAGAGCATGAATCATTTCAACACATCCTTGTCCTCAATGTATTCTTCGACATTATAATAGATCCTGTCCATTATGGTAGTACACTAATATTATTGTATTAATTCATAGCATTATATGCATGCACCATTTGTGATTGCTACCGTGTGGTAGCCTAGAACATACGCAAAGTATGTACCGTTGTCAAGCAAGTACGTTGAGAGAAAGTCGAGAATGCAATTAAAAACTGTTGTAGATCGAGTGTTTTATGTTGTCTTACTGTTAATGTTCTGCAGGTGTTCGGTTTCCTGTTCGACGTGCCCAATCCGGAGCAGAGGAACCTCCCCAAGTGCAAATCGCAGAAGTCCCGCGCGGCGGCTTACGACCTGCTCGTGGAATTGGTTCGCGGCGCGCCCGACAACTATATGGTGCTGCACAATAAGCTCATGGAGCACCATAAACCGGGTAAGACGACATGAATCATTTATAATTATAATGAATAATAAAAATAATAATCGATTTCGTACCAATCAGAGATTGAGAATTTGTTTAGAAAACAGCTTATCGGTGATAAGTAATTATAATTATATTTATTGTAGTGTTATATCTCTACTTAAATTCTAAAGAGATAGAATTCGATTTGTTATATCTGTTTATATAATGAGCAATCTCTGCGCGTTGGTTATGGTACGGTCACGCAGTAGTTTCTACAGTTGCACCAATGGACATACTTCACCTCACAGACTTCAAAAACAACGGGATTAACATTGTCCTCTCCAAGTTGCGCCTCAGAAAGCTTTTCTATGTAGATTGTAGTACAAGTAAAACTTAAACACGCTTCTAGGGTAGGGTAGTAATTAAGTATTACAAAGTTTATAAGTATTGGATGGGTATTTAATCTACCTACTGCGCCGGCGTTGCGTATGGCTTCCTCTTACGACACGTTGTAGGAGGCAGGCAAAAACTTTGTTATTAGATACAGTCAAAAGAGATTCTAAAAATTTTTGGGCGCTTTTACTTAATCGTTTTTGGGACAAAGATTCATATCTAGATTTGCTTACCCTTGGAGAATGAGAGCTAAGCTGTAAATTGTTAGATTTTGTCTATCAAAAAATTCCGACACTTTTCCTATTATAGTGCCTATGTGTGTTTACGAGAGTATTTTCATTGTTTCCTGTTCCCTGTTATGTACATAGCGTAGGGAATTTTGCTCCAAGCATATAACGCGTGGGGCCGACCTGGCTCAGTCGTCTGTAAGTATTGCTTGAGTGGCATGCGTAATGTGGCGCAGGGCCGCAGTCGGGCTACCCGTGGGACTACTGGCCGGCGGAGGAGTCGCGCTCCGAGTGCGGCTACGTGGGGCTGACCAACCTGGGCGCCACGTGCTACATGGCCTCGTGCATGCAGCACCTGTTCATGATGCCGCAGGCGCGCGCCGCCGTGCTGGGCGCGGACCCGGCCCACAGCCGCCACGCCGCCACGCTGCACGAGATGCAGCGCATGTTCGCCTACCTCATGGTCAGTGCCCCCACCTACACTGGCGAGGGCTACAATTTTGTGTGGAAGGGGTTGGTTAGGAAGTCCCCATGACCACTAATGTATGCGCACATAGGATGACATTAATTAGCACGGCAAAACATCCAGATCCGAAACAATAAAATGTGCTTTGGCAACTACGCCACTTTATCAAGGACTACATTCGCCCGCTCGCCCAACTCGTGGTCAGTCGCCCTATCTGGGAGGCTACAGTAGCCCGTTCGCCTACCTCATGGTTAGTGCCCAATTGTGAGGCTATAGCAGCACGTCCGCCCACCTCACGGTCAGTGCCCCAACTTTGAGGACTAAAGTAGACCGTTCGCCCACTTCATGATCAGTGCCCCAATTGTGAAGCTATAGCACGTTCGCTCACCTTATATTCAGTGCCCCCATATGAGGGGACTACAATAGGCCGGTCGCATACCTCATGGTCAGTGCGCAGCTCCGTCTGTGAGGACTGCAGTAGCCCGGTATAGTCCACCACGCGACCCGACTGCGGATTGGCGGACTTCACATATCTTCGAAATATTTCTAATTTTGGTGTTATTTCGAATATATGCAGGTTTTTTTCACGATGTTTTTCTTCACCGCTGAGCACGTGATAATTCGGCACTTAAAATACACAACTTCATTAGTGCTGGCACACTGGGATTTGAACTCGGGTTGCTCGAGTATATTGAATTAAAAGCAAGCGCCCGGTCACTGAGCTATCACAGCTCAGGGGCTGGGTCTCCGGTAATGGAGAATTATGGTTACTTCTAATTTAATCCCGTCTTCTGCGAATCCTTTTGATTTTTACTCGGTGCAGTTCGAATGCAAGCGCGAGCATATTGCCAAATTTCATTGGCAACGGTAGTTATTTTAACATCAGGTGAACAATGCTTTGAAGTTTGGTACCTTCTCTAAATTAAACTGTTTAAAGGATTTTATCGTCATATTGATTTTAAATTCTTTTTCGTTTCAAACCCTTTCCTTTCCAACTATAACAATGTAATAAATAATAAAATGATAAAAAATCATTTTAGCAACGTGAGTTCAAATCCAGTTGCTGGCACTAATTGTTGATGGCAATTTTGTATGATGATTTGTTTCTTGTTCATTGGTGAATAATAATAGGACACCTTTCTATATAAAAAAAACAGTCTATCAGGACAAAACGTTCATTGTTTTATTGGTAACATATTTTATGTTATATATAAAAAGTTATAAAATCAATAAAATAATGATGACTTTTTTTTAGGAGAGCGAGCGAAAAGCCTACAATCCTAGAAGCTTTTGCAAGGTATATCAAATGGACCATCAGCCACTGAATACCGGCGAGCAGAAGGACATGGCGGAGTTCTTCATCGATCTCGTCTCCAAGCTTGAAGAGATGACGCCCGAGCTCAAGAAGCTAGTAAAGACCTTGTTCTGCGGAGTTCTCAGCAACAATGTTGTTTCATTGGTGAGTATCACTAGAATTTATAATTATTTATAAGCATTTCTTAGGTATAAGATTGGGTACAACCGCCAATAAGTCATTGACCCTAAACATGCGAAATGTTGGATTGCATTTAAATTTTATATAAAGATATGTATTTTTCGAGTTATTATTTTTCGTAGTTATTTTAGGAAAGAATTGACTCATAAACGTAAAAGTAGGTAAACGAAAATAAATTGATATGATAAAGGTGATATGTTTCGGGGTGGTGCAACGAGAAAGATGTTGTGGTCTTTATATATACATATCATATGTGCAGCTATAGGATATATACACAATGTTTATCTATAGGACCCCGAATCCGATGTAAGGCTGAGAGTTTTCATAAATTTACTTATTGAAACTAATTTCTAACAGTACTACGTTATATGTTTAATTTTCTTAATACCTTATATGTTTTTTCCACTACGATAGGACTGTTCGCACGTGTCCCGTACGCTGGAAGAGTTCTACACGGTGAGGTGCCAAGTAGCGGACATGCGGAACCTGCACCAAAGCCTGGACGAGGTCACAGTCAAGGACACCCTGGAGGGCGACAACTGCTACACCTGCTCGCAGTGTGCGGCCAAAGTGCGCGCCGAGAAGAGGTAAATATTTACATAATAGTGAATTATTTACATTATTATGCTTATAATAGAAGGGTCGTTATGGAGTCCAAAGAATGCATTTGATTTTTTGTTATGTACAATCTCCCTCTGTACAGAGGATGACTTTGTCCAGCGGTGGGACATATAATTATAACCTGTTACTGTACTTTTACAATCTCATGCACACAAGAATAATGTTATTATTAGTAAATTATTTGATATAGCAATTATATTAATTTTTATATTATTCTTTACATTGTACTCCTATGTCCGTCAACAAATTTGATTTTTTTTCACGATCCTTTTGTACTTGCTTGCTATCTTAAATGTTTTTCAATCAACAATTTTATTTTTTAATACAACAAAAACTTCTTCGAAAAGGGCGTGTTTCAAGAAGTTGCCGCGAATCCTATGCTTCAATACTATGCGGTATACATTCAACATGCTGACGATGCTCAAAGAGAAGGTCAACACGCACTTCTCTTTCCCGATGCGACTGGATATGTCTGGATACGTCGAAAAACACCTGATGCCGGCACAGTACCAAGGTATTAATTAAATATTTTTTGTAATATTTTTTTACTCTTGATGACATTACACCCTAGTGCAAATGTCCGACTTGAAGGAACATGTTTTGTATCAATATGATTTTTTTTTCTTTTTTCAATTTTAGAAGAGAAACGAAAGTCTGAGGAACTTAAGAAAGACGGTGAAGGAAGTCCGAGCGCAGAGAGCGAAGACAATTCCGAGTTTGAGGAACATTACGAGTAAGTAAAGGCTTATATTGTGCGAATAATATATACAAGTATTATAATATATTTGATTATTCACTCATATTCATTTATAATGGCTATATAAAAATTCAAACGTAAAGTCATCTTCATTTTGTGATTTGCTCAATATATTCGCTGTTCTAAATCAGAATCCAACGATTGATGTTACAATTAAAATGAAAACGTTAAATTTTAACGTTCGTGACATCGACTCTGCCAGTCCCAAAGTAGATAAAATCAAGATACGGTTTTCAGGAATAAAAATTACGATGAGCGGTGTCTCCTCGTCATCGCCGCAGAATCTACAGAATGGACAGTCCCATTGTAACCATCTTTAGAGAAGATGGCAAGGGTACTGGTGGTTCACGTGATGTTAAGTGATAACCGCCGCGCATAGACATTTACACAACCCGTTGTGTCTCAGATGCGTTACCACATTCTAATAAAGCGGTCCCCGTCTACCTCACTCACCAGACGAAAGGCAGACGCATGACACTTCCACTTCACGCCGCCCCACTGTGAAGTTGTGGTCACTTACCCGGACGGATCTGCCCATTTATGCCCGATTCCAATATTCAACGAACGGCCTTTAGTTACATAATGACTATGTAACTAACGGCCTTTCGTTGAATATAGGAACCGGGCGTTATGCGACGGCCGAAGCTGTTGCAGCCCTACCACAGTTAAACCCACAGAGCATTTGGACGGGGGAGTAGTAATGGGCGCAACTGTCGCGGCAGGTACGAGCTGATCGGCGTGACGGTGCACACTGGCACGGCGGACGGCGGCCACTACTACTCGTTCATCCGCGAGCGGGGCCGGGAGCGCGGCAGGGAGCAGAGCGACCGCTGGCTGCTCTTCAACGACGCCGAGGTGAAGCCCTTCGACCCGGCGCACATCGCGGCCGAGTGCTTCGGCGGCGAGATGACGGTGAGCGACCCTTTCGTGTGTTATTTAATTTTTTTTTATTAAAAAAAAAACATTGACCGAACTCTATCCTGCGCTGTAAGGAATTTTTACAAACATAAAGCTCACGCGAGTAAAGATCACTAACACCCAGATTGGAATCTTGTCACGCATTACTCAAAATTCGCAACAATGTAGGAAATACGATGAGATTCGTGTCGATATGGCAAACGGCTGTTTAGTGGCTTCTGCTGGCGAAAATCCGGAGGACTTCGTCGCCGTTCGATCGTTCATTTTTATACAAATTTAAATGAATTAACTTACTTATGAGTTTTTAGGTATGAGAAATATTATTATATATTTTATTTAATAACATTCACCTATTATCATCTTAGTAAAAGTAACAGCCTATACATGTCCCACTCCTGGGCAAAGGCCTCCTCTATACAGAGGGTATCAGGGCATAGTCCTCACATATTTTTCGAAATATAAATTTTTTTGTTATTATTTCGAAAATATGCAGGTTTCCTCACGATGTTTTCCTTCACCGCGGAGCACGTGATAAGTCAGCACTTAAAGTTAAAAACTTCATTGGTGCCGGCACCGGGGATCGAACTCAGGTCGCTCGAGTATGTTGAATTAAAGGCGAGCGCCCGGACACTGAGTACGGCTTCTTAGTACATTTAAGTAGTATCATCTTAGTACGTTATTATAATGCCGTGTTGTATATTGTTATAGTAACGTATAAATGCTTTTTTATGTGTACAGAGCAAAACCTACGACTCCGTGACAGACAAGTTCATGGACTTCTCGTTCGAGAAGACGAACAGCGCGTACATGCTGTTCTACGAGCTGAGCCCTCCGAGAGCGCAGCGCGCGTCCGACGGCGCGCCCCAAGACGAGGCGCAGGTTTGATCGATATTCTGGGGTATTGACGAGCTAACGTGATTGCTTGCAAGAAAGTGGACATGAGCAAACCTTTCCCATACTATGCCTTTTTGGGGTTCCGTACCCTAAGGATAAAACGGGACCCCTATTACTAAGACTCTGCTGTCTGTCCAATATTGAGACAGTTGATGTTGCCAGTTTCACAGATGATGTATTTCTGTTGCCGCTATAACAACAAATACTGAAAAAAACACATCCGATACAACAGACATGATTTTTTTGCCATTTTTATAGACTATGGTACGGAACCAACTAGCACTTGGCCTCTTTTTGTTGCTCAATCTGTTTACCGGTCAATGTACGAGCATGAACGAAGCAACTTAAACACGCCTACCCGTTCCAGTCGTCGACGGCGGAGGAGTCGATCGCCAGCCCGTCGCTGGAGAGGCGCTGCGGCGAGAGCGCGCCCGCCGCCGACCTGCCGCCGGACCTGCTCAAGTGGATCTGGGACGACAACATGCAGTTCCTGCACGACAAGAACATATTCCAGCACGCGTATTTCACGTTAGTTCGACGTAACGCAACGCTCCTCTGCAGAGATTTTTTTATGGTGGACTGGACTGCACGCGGACGAACACGGAGATCCGAAATTATTATCTGTGGATCACACAAATAGTTGTCCCGTGTGGAGATCGAACCCACAAAACTCGCTTACGAGGCCAATACGTTAGCAACTTCCTTTTTTTATGTGTTAAGGTCGCCAGAGAGCTGGCCGTTCACCTGATATTAAGTGATAACCGCAGCCCATGGACATTTGAACACAATATGCGTTGCCACCATTTATTATAGTGGGCCCCGGCCACCTCACTCACCAGACGAAACGCAGAAGTGTGACACTTCCACTTCACGCCGGTCTTCTCTGAGATCGTGGTAATGCCCATTCGTGCAACAGCCGAAGCCGTAAGTGGCTGAGAGATCTGTATTACTCCCAATTTGGTCGTTATTAACGATTTGTCGTTTTTTCACTGACAGGTTTATGGGCCAGATGTGCAGCTCGGTGCCACAGTCGTTGCTGACCCTCAGGCCCGAGATCACGGAGGTAGCGGCGCGGCTGTCCACCTCATTTTTCATCGAGACCTTTATACACGCTAAGGAAAAGGTGATTTCTTGTTAAAACATCTGCAGTAATGTTTCTTATTGCTTTTTAGGAACATACCTCACACTAGGAGAAAACAATACCCTCCAGAGACATTTTGACTCGGTTTCTGAACCGTTACTGTGTCACCAGTCAAGCTATGAAATTATTATTAAATTTTCTTGCCAGTAAAGCATCGCACAGTTATTATTTGCAATTAAATCTTCACAAGCAAATGGCATTATACATTTATTTTTGGAGTTCTATCCCTTGATTGTCCGATGGACTATAAACGTACCCTCTTCTTCGGTAGTGGTTAGTACTTCTAAATATATTTGATTGTCCCTCTGACTGTAAACATGCCTTCTTCCGTCCGCGCTTGATGTATAAAGGACTTTCAACCTTAGTCTGAGTGTAACAGAGGCTTAATGTTAAATATTTGATTTGCTTTTGCAGCCGACAATGGTGTCGTGGGTGGAGCTGGTGACGAAACAATTCAACGCGTCGGCCGCCGCCTCAGAGTGGTTCCTTGGCCATATGGCGGAAGACACGTGGTGGCCGATGCAGGTCTGTTGCATTTTTATCAGGCCCCCTCTAATGTTTTGATGTGAAATTTTTCAAAATATAATCTTCACGCTAGTTAGACACTTTAAGTAATGAATAATGAATACGTTAACACGTCGAAAATACATATTTATAGTTTTTTTTCTAATTGACTCAAATCAGTATTGTCATAACTTATACTAAATATAAGCACATCATTAAAATTTGTAGAAAACAATGGCACATCATGTTTTGCTTCAATAATTTTTAGCCTCTAGGTTGTTGTTTCATTACATTCACGAGTAAAACCTTTTTATTTTAGGTTCTAATCAAGTGTCCCAATCAAATGGTTCGTCAGATGTTCCAGAGGCTGTGTATGCACGTAATTCAAAGGCTGAGGTATCTTTTTTTTGGATATTTACACTATTAAAATTTACACTATTAAAAAAAACAATGTAGATAAAAGACGTTAAGATTTTCGTCGGTGTGGCAATCAGCCGTTTAGCTCAGTGGCTAGTGCGTCAGGCCGCGAATGCCGAAGACGTGGGTTCGATTCCCACAGCGGCGACAATCTTTTCGTACTTTTTCTATGAATTTTAATATTTACACTATTATTTATTTTATATATGAGAAGCAAAGTTAAGATTGCGCGTATTGTTTCAGATCTAGTCATTGTGCCTTGTACCTTCAGGGCATGGAGGAAGACGAGGATAATAGTAAATTGGGAGAAGCGAGTTGTGTTACTAGGTTTATAAGAATGTTGTTATCTTTGGTGAGTATGCGGATGTTTGATGCATAATTGCTTATTTTGTGTATTTGGACTTTATCACTCCTTTATCCGAAAACATTTAATAAATTATGAATATAATAGAAAAATATATAATTTTATTTATTAATTTTTTTAGTGATTCACATTCTTAAAATTTTCATATAAGTACTAATGTGTATTCTTAAAAGTATTATATTAATTTAATGTATTTTTATGTCAAAAGATGGAGAACGGTGCGAGGTCACACCTGCGTCATTTAACGGAGTACTTCAGCCTTCTATACGAGTTCAGCAAGATGGGCGAGGAAGAGGGCAAGTTCATGCTGAGGATCAATGCTATTTCAAGCATGGTCAGCTTCTATCTCGGACAAAACTCCACAACGGTAAAAATGTTTGAAATAATGTTAATGAAGATATTGATTCTTGGCACTACGTACTTAAACATAATCTCATAATTTCTCAAAACTGTTTTTTGAAATAATGATAGCTATTGACAATTTGTTTAAATGAAAGGTAAAGTGAAAAACATAAGTTTTTCATTTTAACGTTCTTCAAAACCTTTAATTAATTAATTCTTATTACCATTCGGACTGATCAAGTGATCACTTAAATTGAGCTCAAAATGGTAAAATTTTTGTCAGGTGATAGATCGTATTGATATTACCTATAAATTAAGCTATAAAAGGTTTTTTTCAAATTCAAATATTATACAGATTTATATTCAATATAGAAGCATTACACACACCACTGACCTGCAAATAACTTGGAACTGTAGTTAAGCGTCAAAAAGTTGTTATCGGTTGCCATGGTAACGCGTTTGGGTGTCGCGCATGGCACAAATTCTCTGCCGCCATCTTCCCCAAAAGAAGTATCTCGTCGCAGGCGGAGTCGCCGTCGGAGGAGGCGGGCGGCAGCGGCGGCAGCGGGGGCGGCGCGGAGAGCGGCGACAAGCTGCGGCCCGGCGCGCTCGACAAGATGGTGGCGCTGGTGGCGGGGCTCGTGGAGCGCTCGCGCGACGCCAACGGCCACCTCGCGCTGCCCGAGCCGGACGCGCGCGCGCTGCTCCACGCCAAGGTCGGTCGCGGCGCGGACAGCGTGCTAGCGTAGCGTCGGTAGCGTGACTCGGCGCGAACGGCGTGATGGTGCACTGAGGCGACGTGATGACGCCGCCCGCTGTTACCGAATGATGGATTAGGCTAACAGTTTGGAGCTTAGAGATTGCGATTGTACTGTTGAGCTTACCCATGACGTTGCACACATCAGACGAGCGCTAATATGACATTAATATGACAGTATTTAAGCCTTTACGAAACGCAGAAGTGTGACACTTCCACTTCACGCCGGTCTTCTCTGAGATCGTGGTACTGCCCATTCGTGCAGCAGCCGAACCCGTAAGTGGATGAGGAATCTGTATTACTCCCAATTTGGTCGTTATTAACGATTTGTCGTTTTTCACTGACAGGTTTATCATGTCACTGACATGTGTCGTGGTCAGTCAGCGCTTTATGCCGCATCCCTTAGCCATTAAGTTGCTAATAAAACAAGCGCTATCATGACAGGAACATTACAGCCTTTAAGCTTTTGTTGCCCATGAAGTGACTTATATAACAGGAGCGCTATCATGGCAATGCTGACAATAGCTGAAATTAATTCTCTTTTTTCTTTGCAGGGGTTTCCCTTTATTTACCAACAGACTCGGGACTGTTTAAACTTGCAACAGACACGGTCACTTATCTTCGCACTGTGCCGATGGAACGAGCCCTTAGCGCAAAAGATCGTGAACATGATCTTTCAAGCAATCGCTAAACATTCAGAGGTGAGTATATCAAAAGAGTTTCATAATTATTTTTCTGTCTCTTTTCGTAGTTAAAAATATAATTTACCAATTAAAGAGCTAAGATGTCATAAATTTCTTCGTCAAAAATGAGCAAGTCGTGAACTTCCGTTTCATTCATATTGATCTCTCTACTAAGGGGTAACTTAGTCAGTGTATTACACGTATTTAGCTAACTTTTTAACTTCCACTTATTGTCTCGCATATGGCAAATGGAATCCTAGAAGCATCCTAGCATATTGTCCATTTACCTACATTATCCTATCGCTTTGAATTAAGCCCATATCTCTCTATCTCTCTCTCTCTTCTTATCTCTCTATTTATCTCTTAATTGTTTTATTTAAAGACACTTTTAAAACGGATGTGTATCTCGGCAGAGCTGCGGCGCGTTGTTCAAGCTGCTGACGCTGCTGGTGGAGGGGAGCGGGGGCGGTGCGGGAGCGTCGGGCGGGCTGCCGTGCTTCACGCAGCTAGTGCTGGCGCGGCTCTGGGACGCTGCGGACGTGTGCCCGCACGCGGCGCTCGAGTGGCTCGCGCTGCAGGTGCGACAGGGATGCTAGACCGACATGCCGGTTGTCGGCGCGCGTGTTAGAAAGAGACGGTGGCGCATTTGAATAGCCCCGCACATCTAATGCAACGGCCATGTTAAACCCCTGTAAAGAGAGACGGTGGCGCATTTGAAGCGTCAAAGCTGCTCGCACTTCTAAGCCTAATAAAACTTCAATCACATATCGCAACTATTATTACAATTGCAGTCGCGCGACTAGCTTAGATTAGGGTGGCGCACTTCATTCCATTAATAGATCCCAAGGAGGAAACATAATTGTTGCTTTTGCTTTGTTGGTTCTCCTGACTCCGTGACTGTCGCACAATGTGAAAGAAGCCTTTAGACGACGAAGAGACAAATTATACAAAACCCTATTTTCATGAATCCATTGTGTCAATCGCTCGTCCTCCATTTTGATTTTGTTGCCGCGGCTTCCGTGATCCTTCAAAAATATCGTTGTCAACGAATATGTCCTTGATCTTTGGTATCGGTCTCGGCGTTGACACTGAGACTTGAGAGGAGTGTGTCGTCAATGACAGTGACAAGTGGAGATGCGTTCATAGAGAGTGCCGGTACTGTGTCGGAACGCAATGAAATGATCGCTCCAGGCTCTTTCAATTGGACTTTTTATATTGTATTTAGTACAATCATGTCACACAATGTAAAACATGTTCACGCAGTCAAAAAAGGTAAAAAAAGAAGTTTCCGGCTGTTCTCAGGTCCAATGGCTTTTCTTTTCTTTACCGATTGTATTTTGACCACCAGTGAGTGTAATGGTCCTATGTTGAAAAGAGATATTTGAATTTGAACCTTTGCCGTCGCGCATCGTGCGCAGGTGCCGCGCAACAAGGCGGCCCACGCGTGGGCGCTGCGCACGGCCGAGCGCTGGGTGGAGGCGCAGCTGCTGGGCGCGGGCGCGGCGCGCGTGCGGGCGGCGGCCGCCCTGCTGCTCGTGGCGCTGGTGCCGTCGCAGCACTTCCGCGCGGGCTACGCGCGCGCCCGCCCCCAGCCGGCGCCCGCCCACCACCACGCCAAGCTGCCCGACACGGCGCACCACGCGCTGCACCAGGTGAAGCGCCGCCCGCTCATTTTCCACGTGGCAGGCCAACGAAAGGCCGGCGTGATTTCTTTTTGGGCTGGATGAGACACTGTTGGCTTAGAGGCCTTTACAGTTCCGACGGACGCTCCATGGCTAAGCTCCGGTGGCTAAGCTCGAGGGTCCTCGAGAGCAGGTCTCGGCTTGGGCAGTCACGCAATACGCGTTTAGCATTACGATTCGAGTGGTGGGGGAGAGGGCCGGACCTCTCGGTAGCTATTATCTGACTGGCAGGCCGGCGTGAAGCATAGGTGTTATAATTCTGCGTGTTCGTCCGGTGAGCGAGGTAGCCGGGGCTCGACTTGTCAAAAGGTGGCAACGCATCTGCAAACCTACTTATACAATGCTAAAAATCTCGTTGCTAATTTTAAAGAGACTGTGGACCTCCATCAACTAATAACCGATATCAAATTCGATTATTATTCAATTATTAATAACTTATTTATACCGCGACATATATGTTGATAATTTCTTGTGTTTACGCGATTACATATTATAAATGAAACTAATTTTACGGATTTATCGCGTTTCTTTTAATTTTAGTTTCCGAAGTTTCGAACATTTAACACGGGACAAAAAACGCGATAAATCCGTAAAATGACTTTTATTTATAACTCCAGGTTTAATATTTTTCTACTGCATTCCCATTCACAATCAACTTCACGTGGTAAATCGGTATCAAATCCTATTGGTAATAGTAAAATTATTTATTTGCGTACTCTGTTGAATATACAACAGTTAATTTACTGTTGTTGTGAGCGAATTCCTTATTTTCTCCCCTTCATTGAGTCTGTTTTACAACTTGTTAACAGGTGTACACTATGTTGTTGGGCAAGTTGAAAGCGGCGAAGAAGTATACTGACATCGCCGTACACGGTACGATGAAGCTGACTGCGTACTTCGGGGTCATGTCGTACTGCGTCGTCAGCCGGGTGGAGAAGCTAATGGTCTGTTTAAAACATCATAAAAAATATCGTGTGAGCGTCCGTGAGATTTGCTAGAATCGGGAGCTGCTCTTTCCTTTGGAAACCCTAAAGGGGCCCCCTGAGCTTCGGTGCACTGCACCACCCTACGATAGCTACGCACAGACGACCCGATTGGTGTAGTGCGTAGTTATACTGCCTTTTGCGCCAGAGGATATGGGTTCGATCCCCACTAGGGGGAAAATTTTGTGTGATGAACATAGTGTTTTTCACTGCAATATTTTATATATTTATTTCACTGATCGTACAGCGAGGAAAGTAGTTTTCAAAAAAACAGTATTAAGTGACTCAATAATAATAAAAATAATTTCTTTATTTTCTCACCACAGTATGTATCACGATAGTATTTCAAAAGATTGATGTGCAAGTTAACTTTTCATATTGTGGGAGACTGATGCACCAAACTAAGCTCAAGGCTCTCCTTATAAATTTGACAGTGTGTTTGCAGTTCAAAAGACGTATCTCTCAAAGATGTCTGCAATCCCAATGTGTTGGCTATCGCGTTTCAGTTCGGGCAGTACTTCAACGACCTGTGGGAGCTGTACCACCCGGCGATCTCGGAGCCGTCGGTGGCGGTGCACCCCAACAAGCAGGCGCTGCTCACCTTCTGGCACGCGGTGTGCGTCGACTGCCCGGAGAACGTGCAGCTGGCGGTCGCCAACCCGCGCCTCACCAAGCACATCGCCTTCAACTACATACTGTACGTCGCACCGTCGCGCGTCGAAACGAACGAGTCTATTAGTAACTAGCGACCCGCCCCGACTTCGCACGGGTGCGATGTATGATACACATAAAGCCTTTTTTTATGTGAAAAGTTGCCAAGCGAGCAGACGGTTCACCTGATTTTAAGTGAATACCGCCGCCCATGGACATCTGCTACACCCGAGTGTTGGAAATGAGTTGGCCACCTTATGGAAATTGGGCTCCGGCCACCTCACTCATCAGACGAAACGCGAAAGTAATATACGTCCACTTTACGCCGGTCTTCTGTGAGGTCGTGGTACTTACCCGGACGAGCCTGCCCAATCGTGCAACAGCCAAGGCTGCTGCGTGGCTCTACCACCGAAAACCTTCCTCTTGAATCACTCTATGTATTAAAAAAAACGCATCAAGATCCGTTGCGTAGTTTTAAAGATCTAAGCATACATAGGGACAGACAGTCAGCGGTAAGTTGTAAAACGCTGATTTTTAGTGATTTAAGTGATTTTTGCCATTGTTCCATGACGAAACGCGAAACCCTCAGAACACTTTTTTTTAACATGAGGTGAACCGCCTGCTCACTTGCCAACTATAACATAGAAAAAAACTGCCCCGCATTAGCCAACTTCAAGCCAACATTCAAATTGACACCGAAGACATTTAATTAACTAGGAAATAGCATATGTCCACGAGCGGTGTTTATTCTGATGGTGTATTTAACATGAGGTGAACCGCCATCGCTTGCCGTCTCATATGAAAAAGCTCTTTACGATGCCGTTACAACGCGGACCACGTAACTAGGAAGTAGCACGGCCTCACAGTGGCAACGCATATGGAACCCCACGGGTGTTGCAAGTGTCCATGAGCGATGTTTACCATTTTACATGAGGTGAACCGCCATCGCTTGCCATCTCATATGAAAAAGCTCGTTACTATGCCGTTGCAGCGCGGACCACGAAGACGGCGAGGTGGTGGCGTACAACCGGGCGATGCTGCCGCCGTACTACGCGCTGCTGCGGCTCTGCTGCCGCCGCTCGACCGCCTTCGCGAGGAGCCTGGCGCAGCACCAGAACATCCACTGGGCCTTCAGGAACATCGCGCCTCACGCCCACCTCTACCCGGGCGCCGCCGACGAACTGCTCAGGTGGGCTCGTCTATGCCAGTCTAAGGTCTATGGAGCGTTATTTATTTATGGAGATTTATATATGGAGCGGTATTTGTTTAGATATGGTATAAAAAGTGTTGACAAACTATTATACAATTCCATCATATTCCTCCATTTCTTGTGTACAAATGCTTGGACATACAAGCGTTAATTAACATAAGTTCACATTCCAAACTTATCATAAGTATTATTTTGCAAATGTCCATGGACGGTGGTTATCACTTAACATCACCACGCTTGCCACCTTCTAACACAAAAAAAAACGTTGTTAATGTTATTGGCTAGGTTTTCTTTACGACCGGACCTACTACTACGCGGAACTATGTCCCGTATTGGAACCGAACTCACAACCCCTGTATACCCGTCACCGTCACCGAGTCATCTATTATACAGAATATTGCTATTACTAAATCAATGTTTGTGCTGTCGTTGTTTATTTATTTCTCAACTATTTTCAACGGTCCAGGCTGGCGCGCATTCTCGCCGCGCGTGGCGGCAATGCCAGTGGCAGTGGCGGCGGTACCGTTGACGTCATCGACAGCAGAGAGGCCGCCGCATTCAGGCGCAGCACGCTCTCCGCTTACTTACAGGGTAAGCGGATTCGTCGACAGCTCTCAGGATTCGCAAGTCGAAGTGGCAGTTGGCAGGTCCACTGCCACTTCATCATCAGCGGCATAGCTCGAAGAACTGATGACCGATGGGGAGTGAAGGTTGTCGAGTGGAGACCACGAAACGACAGACGTAGCGTTGGAAGGCCTCCCTCTAGGTGGACCGACGACATCGTAAGAGTCGCTGGCAACCGGTGGATGCAAATCGCAGCCTCAGTGTTCAATAGCGCACTTAAAACACGGTTAAAAAACAACAGTTTTACGTTTTTCACACAGGTTTAAATGGAAGAACGTGTTGGACGACCTTAATATCGGCGTTCTGCACTTTGGTCGAGAACGAGGATGACAGGCTGTATGTCGTCTATAACGGCGGCTTGCAGATGACCTTCGAGGTACGTTAGTTTTTTCACAAATCAATAAAAAACGAAGAAGAAGAGAAGAGAAAGTTTTTTCAAGTATTGTACACATTGTTCAAGCTTGTGCCAGTAAGAACATAATTTTAAAAAATATCTCGACTAATAGAAAATAATTGTACTAAAACTATACTAAGATCAAGAATAACGGAACTCATCGTGAAAATAGTTGGAAAGGGTAGTTACCACACAATATGATACAAAACGTTTTCATTCATAAAATGCATATATTTGTATGGTATATACTAATATTCTAAATGCGCAATTTTACGTTTAAAGGAGGTTTTTATTATTTTCATCCATAGAAAAATTACTTATATACCTAAAACAATGAAGGTGAAGTTGCGAACAAAATTTATTATTAAATATTGTATGTAGGAAAAGTCTAGGTGTAGCCAATTAATCGATTACAAAAGATATTAGGTGGAAGAAGAGCTAAAAGTATAGGTACTTTTATATTTCATCGGGAGTGAGTTTACTGGAGGCGTACTCTCTCGGCGTCTAGGTACATGTGAGGTTGCGTTTGCAGGCTTAATTAACTCAGGCTGATATTTTCGCTTTCAATTAGTGGACTGTTAATATTCGAGTCGGACTCACGCAAGATGTTTTCCGTTCCCATTATCTATAAAAACGGCAAAAAATCATGTATATTGTATGGCTGCCCCACTTAAATTTAGTATTTGTTTTTATAGTGGCAACAGAAATACATAATCTGTGAAAATTTCAAATGTCTAACTATCACGATTCATCAGATACAGTCTGGTGACACACAGACACACGGCGAGGTCTTAGTAATAGGGTCCCGTTTCACCCTTTGAGACGGAATCCTAAAAATGTTTGTGTGTGCGTGGGTATAGTGTCGACTAGTTACATTCCCACCGCTGGGTCGCAGGCGCTGCACAGCCTGCACGCGGTGTACGTGGAGGGGGGCGTAGGCGGCGTGGGGGGCGGCGGCGGCGGGGGCGGGGCGGTGCGCGCCGAGCTACGGCCGCGCTGCGCTGGGCGCGCGCGCTCTGCCGCACGCTGCGCACGCGCCGCGACGCCAAGGAGGCGCGCGCGCTGCTGCTCGCCTGCAAGGACTGGCCCGAGTGCGCCCGCCGCCTGCTCACCATGCTCAACCTGCACCAGCGGCTCAGCCACCTGCGCCTCGCCGCGCTCGGTGCGTCACTCGCTTTATTACTCTCGTCCTGTACATCATAATTTTCATCATTTCGACTATTAATAATGACTTTCGGCGCTTCGCAGGCGTGCTCCGCGAGCTGGTGCTGATCGGCGGCGGGGCGGCGCTGGGGGCGCTGGTGCCGCTGGCGGCGGGGGCGCACGCGGCCGCGCGCGGTGCCGCCCGGCCCCGCCCCCGCGCGCCTCACGCCGCGCACGCCCCCGCGTCCCGCACGCCAGCGCCCCTCGCGCCCGTCTACCGCCCCTACCACAAGTTCATCGGTGAGCCTCGTTTTTATATAACCGCGCGACGCTACAGACCCGTCTACCGCCCCTACCACAAGTTCACACACCCACGTCGCCCTAGCTACGTTTATTTATGTTTAAAATCAAAAGTTTGGTTGGCAGGCGGTTCATGTTATGTTAAGCGATTGTGGCAATCGCTTAACATCACATGAACTTGCGGGGCATTGCAAATGTCGCTGGGCGCCGGTTATCATTTATTATTGCCGGCTCATTTGCCATCTTCTCACATAAAAGAAAATTCTCCGGCTATGTTAGCTATAAAAGCCCTTATATATATACCACATATTCTTGTGATTGTAGACACGTGCTGCCGCGTAGCGAGGAGCCAGCGCTGCATGTCCGAGCAGCTGGTTCTGCTGTCGGCACTCTGCGCGCTCGAGGCGGTGCCCCTCAAGTTCAACTACTTCGCCGCCTTCTGGCGCGACGTCGCAAACACGCCGGTAACCCATCACGCTAACTGCTCGATCGTAGGCGTCGCTAACACGCCGGTAGCACGTCACACATCACGTTAGCGGCTGCTGAACATACAGCTCTTAGGAATTTGGTAGTTTCCTAAAACTTTACATTAAACACTTAATATACATTTTTAAAAATTTTTATGGTGCTAATCTCTGCATTTAAGATTGAACATTAAAATTTGTATCTTTTTGCAATCTTTTCTTACTTTTTCTACAAATTTTACAACTTAATATACATTTTAATAGTGTCATACTTGTGCGCATCAATTAATATCAAGGTAAACCGCTAGCTAGATAGCCACCTTCTCACATAAAAAAAGAACGCTTGAAATTGTAGATGACACAAAGCAAACTGAATGCCGATTATTTTACAACTGAACAAAAATTATGAGGTATGCAATTGACTCCTTAATCATGTCAAGCATAGCTCGGACACAGGGATAGAAAAATAAATAACACGCCTTTGAATACGGATCAGTCAAAAATGTGCAGATAAAACTGTCGCCAAATTTGTAGCCGCTGCTAGGTTTCGAACCTGTGACTCCCGTAACATTTTCCTATGATGATGAGATGCTCTAGCCACTAACTAAGCTATTGACATCCTCACCACGCAAGTCTCGATAGAACTAGAGAAAATGTGTTCCCTTATGTAATTTTTTTTATTTTAAACTGACTGATATTAATTTTCGTCGTCATCAACCCTCAGTAGTTGAACCCCCGTCATCCAACAATCAGTAATTCATTAAACGTGATTACATACTATTGTGTACTATATTATTTCCGTCCGAATACAAAGTAGGCGTCTTCAAGGCAAGAGTGAATAGGTTTCTATTGAGCTAGCGCGCTTACCATCAACGGCTGCATCGCCACATACCATCAGGTGGGATGGCAGTCAAGTGCTAACCAGTTTTGACTTAAAAAAAAAATTCCCCCTTACCTGATCATGGCACGGTTGTAAGACAGAAATTAAGGCGCTGTATGCAGTGAATTTTTAACTATTTGGGTGGTGAAGTATGAGGAAGCGGAGGAGGGGTAACGCTGCTTAGAGGCGCGCAGCGCACGAGTTTCATCGACGCGCTGCTAGACCAAGTCATTCATTGCTTAGTGTGTATGTGTGAAGTGATGGGCCGTAGGATACTTTCGAAAATGTACACAGATGATCCCTTTAATATCTTTTATAGACCATGATTGTATTTTACTTTTATATTATAATACGAATAATAAAAAAACAAATAAATATAAAGTATGAGAAAGCAATCAACAATTTTAGAAAATCTTCCTGCTTATTATTATTTTTTTTAATTAAATGGAAAAGGAATTGATTAAAAGTACATCTTAAAGTCAAATAAATTAATAAAGGCAAATTACTAATAATTATTATTTTTTATTTTTATGGTTTATATTGTGATTTTAAAGAAAATTTTTGCAGAAATTACGAATACAACTTTTTTTATTACATTTTTTTTGTATATTAGGAATTTTAATTTATCCTTTAAATGTTCAAGACTTACTATGTTATATTACTTTTCCAACTAAAATAAAATTTAAAAAACTATCGATAAAATCCTTATTTGTATCAATAAACGACAGCAATTATAACTAGAATCGAAATTTTGTCACTTTGCACAGACCTCGCGTAGCCTGTTCGTCCGAGCGTCATACACAACGGTAAACTATTGCTGTAGTCCCAAGTTCAAACCACTCATCGAGTGGAGTTGTATTTTTTATATTATTTTCACTTTTAATTTGTTAGCCAACTAATTATTTTCTTTTCATTTTATAAAATGCCTCAATTTGGGAAATATACAAATCATAAAATAATTATTTTTCGTGTATAAGATAAATTTTTGTTTTAGGGTGAACAATTAAATAAATTAATAAAAAAATAGATGACGTTAAAAAAATTTAATACTAAAAGTTGGTTTATTTACTGATAGATTGTTCTCCAACTTTTTCAACTTTAAACAAATACAATAATATTTCGTTGTAATTATTTATGAAAATAATAAAATCCACAATAATTAAATGGTAATTAAGAAATACTTCCAAATAATAAAATCAGCAATAAGTACAACAAAAAAAGGTTTACGGATTTGAACCCAATCCATAAAGAATGATGGTCCTATACACTGTATGTATAGGACTGATAGACCAATCAATCACGACATAAGACATTGAAATTATGCTTTAAATAAATTAATTAACATAAATACGAAATATGTGAATATATATTTTTTAGTTTCGTGTTTTCGAAGGTCTAATAAAATTAAAACTACCAATAATAAATAAATACGAAAAATATTTCGTAATCGATGAGCAGCATAAGTCCATTTAGCAAGGCGCCTCAGCACTCAGAAAGCGCTGAGGCGCCTTGCGTGTGGAGTTGGAAGAGAGCCGAAACAACGCCGCGGTGGCGCGGTGTTTGGGCCATCGTGTTCGAAGTAATTTTAATGAATTAAATTAATATTTACAAATATCTTACTTCAATCAACAAATTAAGACAACAGTCCTTTTTATTAATATATTCTACACCACTGATATTAATTTCATCAGGATTTGTTCATTTATTATATCTATTTTTTTATTTCATTTTGACGTTTAGAGGTAGGTTCGTGATTTTTTTCTATCGAGAATATGTTTTGAAAACAATGGTCCATTAGAATGTAAGATCAAGATTAACATATATCTTTTTTGCTTCTATAAAATGTATAGATTTTATTAAAAAAATTTTTTGAAAAACCTATTTTTACTGCATACAGCACCTTAACTTATAAGTTCATTTGTTATGAGGAACATTTAAATTAAAATATTTAAATTTATTACTCAATAAAACGATACATGTAAAATGTAAGTACGAAACTATTTGAACCTTCGAAAATGTCACTATAGTAATTTCGTCTTTAGATTAAAACATTCCTAATCTTCCTTCTTTCATTTTTTTTAGGCGGATGCTAAATTGGAGGAGATGCTCCTGGAGTGCAGCGTGGTAACGGAGTACGTGGACGCGGTGCTGTTGGACGAAAGGGATTCGCTCGAGGACCCCGCGATATACGAATTTATGCAGCACTACTACCCCAAGGCTAGTCTTACAACATGAAAATAATTCCAAATGTATATTAATGTTACGCCTGAGAGGTCTGACGAAAATACTATGTTTTAGGCGTATTAATTGCATCATATACTAATTTATATCTAAGCATATGTGGTAATTGGGTAGAGAATCATAGACGAAAAACTTCAGTTACTTGTGCCTTTTATTACATTAAATTCCGTTGAACGTTATTTATAAATTATCTTTCATTCATGCGACAAAACTATAATATTATATTGAAATAACAGTTAATAAAAAAAAATCACGAATTTATATTTCGACTTTTTAAATGCATGTATACACAAGTGTCGTGTTTTTTATTTAACTCGGATTGATTGTTCATCACATAACTCATTCATAAAAGGTTATCCTGCTATATAAGCGCGGGAGACGTCTCGGTTGCGTTTTGAAATACAATATCCATTTAACTAAAAATGGATGCGAAAAACTATGGATGAATCAAATATTTACGTAAAAATGTTGCCTCGCGTTAAAACTAATAGCAATAAAACGAATGCCCGAATTGGAAGTATGAATGGTGCATTCCCAACACTCGAGCGAGAAAAGAGATCTGTTCATGTGTGTGTCTAGACGTTAAACTGAGCTTACGTTTAGCTGTGCGCACTGAGCAACTCGTCGGGCTCGCCGAGCGGCGCGTCGAGCTCGTCGGCGGCGGGCGCGGGCGCGACGAGCTCGGCGGGCGCAGCGTGCGCGGCGGAGGCGCTCGCCGACGAGCTCGCCGCGGCCGCCGTGCGCTCGCCCCCCCACGGGCTGCTGGGCGCTACACGCGCGCTCGCCCTGCTGGCGCACCGGGCGCACCGCTCCGCCCCCTTGGCCCGCGCGCTGCAGCGGGCGGCCGCCGCGATGCAGGAGCGCCTGCTCCGCGCCGCCGGTCGGTGTCGCCCCCCCCCCCCCATTCCGCCCCCACTCGGGACTCGCGTGTCGATGGCCGGCCCGACCGACCGCCTATTTTATTGGTTAAAAAATGTAAAACCACTTCGTCGATTATGTTAGTCAGCGGCTAACTATAAATCATTGTACTGCAGTAATGAGCTTTCACACAGAACTTGGTTTGTTGATATACTGTACCTCTAATGAGATCCTATGTTCCAAAATTCTAAAAATTTGTAAGCACTGCTAGCCGTCTTTCTTCGCGACTAGAAGCCCGAAAAAGTGAGACGTATGGTTCCGTTTTTGTCACTCTTGTAAGCTAATTTAATTGGTATATTTAACTTCTATAGACCGTCATTTTCTTTAAATTTCTAACTATCATTTCTTTCCTTAAAATTATTATTTTTATTATATTAGTACACGCTTAACTTCAATACACTTATAAAATAATTCAAATAGCTACGCAGTACCCATAGCTACCAGTCACAATCCAAATCGATTGATTTCTCATTCTGATGGTTTAGTTTACATACTTTTTTTTATTAGTCATAGTGATCTATTTGCTTCGATGAAAGCTGCATAACTTTTAATGCTTCGCTAACGTAACGCACCGTTGCGCCGCAGACGAGGAGGGCTCCGAGCCTGAGGCGGACGTGGAGACGGTGGAGGCGGCGCGCTGCCCGTCGCGCGACGGCAGCGAGGCGGAAGCGGAAGCGGAGGCGGAGGAGGAGGCGGCCGACGAGATCCCCCCGGATGCGGACGAGTCGCCCGACGACGAGCCGTTGCCGCAGCACGAGCGCGAGCGCGACCGCCTCGCCCACCTCACGCTCGCCGTGCACGCGCTCGCCGCCGCCGCGCACCGCCCGCCAGACGGCGACACGGACGCGCCCTAGTGCCCCCTCGACCTGCGCCTCCGCCCGCCCACGCGGTAGTAGGCCCCGTCCGCCGCGAGAGCGAGACGACCTATCCGTTCGTCCCGGTCGCACGTGCAACGCCGCCCGCTCCAGTGTTGTGACGTCAGTCGAGACGGAACGCGCCCCAGAGCGGGACACGCTCATCGGTCCGTCTCGTTAGACGCCGTAACTCTCGTAGCGTTTCGTAGGCGGCCGGTGAGGTGAGACGAGTCAGCCAGATCGCTTCACGGCGCATGGCCTACAGAGTTCAATGGGGACAACTCGACGGTGGCTGCGGCTTTGTGAAATTTTATTTCTAATAGTGATAGTGTTGCCCGGAAGATTCGGAAACCGTAAAACCTGTCAAGCAATAACGTTAGCAGTTCTATGTAGTGTACAATAACGTAATAATTTTGTATAACGCGCAGCGACGTTGATGCGTGAATGAGTGGCAGCTTCAGATACAAAATACGTTATTTGGTTGCTTACATATAAATAGATTGAGCTATAGGGGGGTGCTTTGTAACATAGATAAATAACTTTCCGATAATATTAGTACTAATATTATTTGAAACTTATTTTGCTATAAAGTGTTTAATGTACAATGCATATTTTTGAATTCTATGTATTTCAAAACTTTTTGTTTGTAATTAGCTTGATTTATAGCGATTTGTATAATCTGTACACTAATTTTATATATTTCGTTATAATTCATGATTTGTTTTTGTACCAGACAGCTAAATGAAATTCCTTTCTGTCTTATTTTGAACAAATTATAAAACTCCAATTTGAAAGTTCCATCAATTTGTAGAAATTCCGACGTCAGCTTTCACGTCGGAATTTTAACAAAATAGGAGTTTCCTTAGACTCGCTGTTTAAGACACTCTGGTCTAAACATATATTATTTTTATAAATTAACAATGGGTCTTAATTGTTATGTGTATGAAAAGGTGGTGAATTGACCGAAAAACTTGATTATTATTTTGAAATCCACACTGCATTTCTAATTTAAAATTAGAACCTTAAATGAACGTTTTCTGTGCTTTTTATTTTATATTTAATTTCAAATATATTTCTAACCGAATTTAGTGACGACGGTTTAAAGAACTTTGAAATGCATATTTTAAAAAAATGTAGATCATGTGCTATGCTTCAGTGGATAGCAAAATATTTCTCTTTATAAGCGAAATATTCTAGAAGGGGTTAGACAAAACTGAAGCAAGTATGTAGTAGCTAGTTTGACGCAGCTGGCTCAATGGTAGCATAGTTTTATGTTTGATTTTTTTATACATAGTGTAAACAATGATAGCAGAGCCGCAGCCAGGAAATATATGAGGTCGGTGAAACGATTTCTTGATAGACTATGATTTTTTTTGTATTAAACAATTAACCCAGTATGCAGTGTATTCATCACAACTATGCCTTAATGATTATATGTTAATAGGTTGATTACATGGGAATTTATTATGAACAACCGACTCAGACCGCCTAGAAAACAATTCCTGGCTACGACTCTAAATTCAAAAGCACCAGAAATACATAATAAATACCCATAGCTATATTAATCATAATATTTTTTTCTTTCGCTTCAATTTTGCCGCTTATTGTCATTTAAGTGAAACATGTTGTACGCATTAAATAATACGGTCGTTAGCCACGTAAAAATTTAGAATCATCGTAGCGTTTTATTAATTCGTAAAATATGTGCAGTGTACTTATTTTCATATTTAAATCCTTTTCCTCTATACGCGTCACATTGTTGCGGTAGTAGGCATCTAAATTATAGTTTTGATTTGCTTTTATTCAAAACACAATTTTAAAAATTGTATTTGAGACTGTTTTGAGTTAATGAATAAATAAACTTGAATATTTAAGTGAAAAAATTAGGTTTTTATAGAAGAAATTGATGTGCTTTTAGAAGTTAATTTAAGTATCCACATATGATTTACGTATTTGATCCATAGTGGGAATCTCTAGCTTGCAACATCGTGTAGTAAAGTTACTAGTACTTTTTAAAGCTCATGTTTAAATTAATTATCTCTTTGTTTGCTACAATATCATTTGCGTGTAAATTACGGGAAGCAAGTTCCCCCAAAATGGAATCTATTCAAAATTGTTATTACGTTTCGGCTGTGAGAGTTTCGTTAGTGTAAGATATATAATGTATATCCTAAGTAATAAAAAACCGCAACTGTCAGTGTAGCCATAATTATATCACAATTTTGTACCTACTCTAAAAATGTCACCCGTCCAACCAACTCTCTTTCTCGGAATTTGTACCACTGTTGCACTGCACATAGTCCATAATTGGCCATCGCGAAACAATTCAAATATGACTTATATAAACATAATCTCTGAACTTTATTTCAAGTTTAAAATCATTCCATTGGCACATATCACTTTAGTAGTTTTGAATCCTTAAAAATTCTGATTTATAAATTTTGGAAGATTAAAGACTGTGTGCAGGATTAAACCACTAGGCCAGTATATATGTATCTACTTTAATATGAATGTATAGTAAAACCTTTTGAATGTATTGTTGTATAATAATTCCTTCAATAACTTTCTATATATTTAATGAATGTTCTCGGTGTTTAAATTCAAAGTGCATGCATCCACGTCTCGTTCCTTATATTAAATTTGTAGTTCCCTATTGCACTACAATGCACAATATTATATGCTCGCAATATTTTAATTTGTTGGATGTATTGTTTTTAGTTGGTCTATTAAAATTAATATTTGTCGATTTTCTTTTCTCCTTTGTTTACAAGGCTAGCTATATAAAATAATAAATCGCCACGAGGATGTTTGCAACCATTACAGAATACACTAATTGGTTCATCACCACGGCTCTACCGACCACATCACATTTTAATGTACATATATCAATCAGTTATGGGTGCGTCCATTTCTCTTAACACCATACTAATTTTCATCCATCAAAAAATTACTCATTACTTTAGAATACTTATTGTGTATGAGTAATATGTAATAGTTTCAAAAAGTATGAATCCTGCATTTGTACAATTTGGTAGTGTTAAATGGATAACGGATACCATAGAATTCAGAGCAATAATGTTTTCATAATAATTTGTATTTTACTTATTGAATAGTTGTTATTACAGTCACATTGACTGTATCCTAATATTGATGCAGTGGCAGTCATTGGTCGATTAACTGAAAAGTTTTTGATATAATGTGGTGCTATCGAACTGTATGGAGCAACTGGCAATTGTGACAAAATGTGTGTTTAATTTTGTCCTGATTTTAGAGCTTATTAATATATATACCCTAAATTTAGCTATGCTGTAATTATCTTTTTATTAATTCTAAGGTTCTATTTTTTTTTATTGAAAAGGAGCACTATATTATGAATGTAATCTTTCTGGTGGTATCACTATCAGTGCCCATTTTAGTTTGCTTTTAATGGTAAATGATTTGAATTTATGTATTATATTTACATTTTAATTACCGGAACTAGAGTTTCGGTGGAATATAACTGTGTTATTGTAATTATTTTGTGAAATTGATAAATACTGTAAATCGGACTGGAAAGCCAAAGTAAACAGTATTTTATAAATCTTTTTTTTTATTTGATCCAAATCACAGTTTTGTTAAGACATCTTTTGTTTATTAATGGTAATTTTTTTCTAATACAGTTTGTGGAAAACCTCTTTAAAATTTACTTAAACGAATTTTTATAATACAGTTTTAAAGTACAGTCATTGTGAGAAAGTAAAAGGTGAATAAAGAAAAATCCCTTTGAAGTTATTTATGTTTTTCTAACAAATATAATTGCTATATGTCTTCCTAAGTTAACTTATTTATTTGTAAATAAAACAAACTATACATTTAAAGTATACTCAAATAATAATTTCTTTTAAGTATATAGTTGACGCACTTTAGGGGAGGCTTACATTCAGCAGTGGACGGCAATAGGCTGATATTGTTGTATTGTATATAGACTTGTGTTCTATTATAGCAGTTTCACTTTAACTGCAAAACAAATGTTTGTTGAAATATATAAGTAAAAACAGCAAAATAAATTATTTTGTCATTAATAAAATATAACTAAGGAAAGATCAATAGTGAATTTCTCCATTGATTCTACTTTTAAGATCATACTAATACATTAAAAATGTTTTGGAGAATATGAATGAAATTCATACATCTAATTTACTTTTTATGCTGGTTTATTCGGTTTCTTATTTCTACAGGAAATTTTTCAATTGAATTTTTAGCACAACTAAAGCAAAACAGTTTGGTATAAAAGATGCTACATTCTTTGCTTATGCATACAGTTTCCTTACATATTGCACAATCTGCTCCTAACATAAGGATTTCTCCTTTGCCTGGAGGGCTAAATGGATCCTTCATCACATAGCTTGGATATTTAAGAATTATGTTTCGCGAAAAGGGAGGCCTGGTACCTTTGTAATGTACCTTTTCACTTAAATTGCATGATTTACACTTAAATTCACAGCCATCTTCTCTATTCTCCATATTTGAGTTTTGACCTGTTTCATCCATTTCCTGAAACAATTCAAAACACTATTCCTATTAATATTTTCCTTTGCTTTTTTGTGTTAGTTATTTTATATGTTTAAATATACTCAAATCAATCAGTACATATAAATCGTTCTGAACAAATGGTTTAAGGTCACACATACAGTGATAAAATACATACTTTTCTTTTTATTTTCTTATCCCCATCATTATTAAACAAACCTTAGCTTTGTTCTTTCTTAGTAATTTCTTTAGGCGCTTCAATTGGCCACCATGATGGTTTTATTACCTCAGCTTTATAATTCCCGACATTCAATACTTTAGCTTCTAAAGCCTCTTTGATTCTTATTAAACCTATACCATAGTTATCCACAATGCCCCTTAATTTGCCTAAGTTTGATTTGGCTTTATCTTTAGCTGTTATTACTGTATCTATTTCAAATGGGTCTTTTACACTTTCACTAAATTTCAAGGGCATCATTCTTTTTCTCACTACACCAGTATGATGGACCCTAGCTGTTACCTCCTGGCCAATATAACACCCTTTGTGAAAACTAACACCATGAAGGTAATCACAGTTAGCTTCTAGAGGAAAGCTTACTGCAGGTGGAAGGTCCTCAGCTCCTTCACTGACACCTAATTTATATCTTAAATATTTATAACCATCTTCAGTTGTTTCCACTCTGATATCATCCCCAATAATATCTGCCAATAGGCTGTTAGCTAATGTTATTGGAGATATAATTCTAAAACCTAATTCGGAAAGTCGAGGGTCCTTATATATATGTACATTATTTACTTGAGTATTAGGTGCAGTTGGAGATACTAACACCCACAATTTTATCTCTTCATTCACATCTTTTATTTCCAATTGCCTTCTCAATTTGTACATTTTCAAATGTTTTTGTATATCGTTAATTATACTCGTATCGCATTCAAGAATAAAAGAGTCCTCCCATTTATGTATTACGGTATCATACAAAACCCTGCCTTTATTATTAAGAAACATAGCGTAGAGAGACTTAGCGTTTTCTTCGAAATGCCGCATATCGTTTGTAATAAGCCCTTGTAGAAAAATTGATGCATCATTACCTTTTACTTGCAATAATTTTCGACTTTTAAGCGGATACAAAATTGGTTTCGATATTTCATATTCTTGATGAGTATAGCGTAAAAATTGGAAAAGAATATGTCTTTTGCATAATAAAGACTTTACCTGTTGAAATTTCATTATAAATTTCACTATATTAGCACTGTTTCATAATCACAGCTTTGTATTTTTTGTGTTTCATAGAATTGTTGTTTTAAATCTTTTAAGTGTGACCAGATTTCATTTGACGAATCTACTGCTTGTCGAGGTTAAAAACTACTGAATTTTACCAAAAGAGAACGAGAAAACACTAAAAATCTATTATATTTTTTGTGGTCGTGTTGAAACCTAAAAACATGAATGTTTTCTTGATTAAACGATAAAAATAACAAAGAAACCGCCATAAGTAAAGAAACCAATGGTTTTTTTAAAGTTAAATTCTAAATAAAAATATAATTAAAAAAATAAAATGAATAAAATTAAACTTAAAGTTAAGATTCTTCGTCTTTATGTTGGGTAACATTGTCATAAAGCTGTTTTGAGTCCATTAACTTGATCATACTTCTGTCACGATCAAATCTGAAATCTCCTACATCCTCCTTCCAATTAACCCCTTGTAACCCTTCGTTTCCATGCATTATTGCAGCAACATTCTTATTATTAAATCGATTTCAATCTTGATTTTTAATCCTATTAATATCGGAAAATATTCTTTCTACTTTGGCGTTCGACAAAGGTAGTATCGTCATTTGCTTCACAAATTGGGACAAATTGCCATACTTTGGTTTGCCTATTAGCATCACAGATTTGGCTGACTTCACTCAAAAATTTAACCACCATCAAAGTTTCAGACGTCTAATTGCAGTTGACAGGGAATTTTTTTTTAACATAATACGGGTTCAAACTACAGTAGTGCGTAAGTTGAAAGTATTAAAAAAAGTTTTAACAAGAATAATTAACTAAGAATTACATTCCACATATTAACGTTAGTAATTTGCATACCTGAGAAATGCCGGAATATACTGTGATATTTATTATATGCTTTGATGTAGCCATGTGTTCCTTCAAAGAAGCCAGTCTACTTAGTACTTCACAGTTGCATGCTTTACAATGAGCACTCGTAGTATAGTGTTTATACCTTAGATTTACATAACCAACTTTTAAATGAGGGATCTTGCTCCCATTCATCGCGATATCTTTGTGTATATTTACGTTCCATTTTAAACTCGATTATAAAAATTCTCAATAAAGGAATTCCCACTAGTCTATCACCCCGCATTTATCTGATAAGCCAAAAAAGTACTAGAATAACTGAAAAGCGTGAATTCTACTAAAATACACCAAATAATTTTTATACACTAAATTCTGTGGCCAGTACCTCAAAATCTACCAAAAAAGTAGAAATCTACTAAATTTGGTGACGCTGATTATGTCAACAATGTCACTGTCAACAGTCAGCTGTCAGTCAGATGAAGATAGGGTTACCAATTTCTAAAAACATTTTTCAAGCAGATGTAAATAAAAGTATGTAAGTAACGTAACAGACGTAAGTAAACTTTTTTTATAGTGTAGCTTGCTGTTATCTTTTAGCCCGGTATAAGAGGTTAGGATGTCCGCAGGCAGATGACTCGTGAACTCCACAAGTACGGATAAGATACTTTAAAAGAATCCGAGGACCCTTCGCCTGATCGTGTCATGAGATAAACAACTAACAGGGGAGGGGCCCCTGTTAGTTGTTTATCTCTCATTTGCAGGATGTTACAGTGAAGCTGGCGATCGTGTCGTCGTGCACCGGCTAGCTACGTTGTTCACCCGAGTTTATAAGTCGTCTTCCCGCGGACTTCTTCCACTGAAGCTGTCAAAGCTAACAGAAAGCTAAACCGGGCTAACAGAAAACTACATCTACAAGAAAAACAAGAAAACTACAAAAAGTATACTTATGAGTATTAACTTATTTACGAAATCTTGGAAAGTGTAAAGTACGCACACGATGATGACATAGATGAAGTTACTAAAATGCAATAGAAAGAACTTAAGAGATGTCGAAATTTTCGAATCCCGCGCACCGAAAATTGTTATTCACCTATCTCCAAAAAATCTAAAAAGTTTTAACTTGAGTGCAGACTATTTTTATATGAGAAAGTGAAAAGCGAGCACACCGTTCGCTTGTCACATTCTCATTCATGATAAGTGATAACCGCCACTCATTGGCACTTGTAAGACCCGTAGGTTTGTAGAATATGGCTCACTCACCAGTCGAAACGCAGAAATATAACACTTCCACTTCGCGCCGGTCTTCTGTGAGGTTGTTGTACTTACACGGATGGACCTGCCCATTCGTGCAACAGCGAAGGTTGTTGTGTGCCCTACTACAGTGCCTTAGCACTAAAAATAAAATTAATGCTAATCAAATATAAAGTGGCCTGACGTCAGAAATCAGCCCTTTAGCTACTAAGCTAAAGGGCTGATTGCCAGACCAATGAAAATCTTAACGTCTTTCGAAATCAGAGTTGAACCGCCTAATTCGCGAATAGCCTTGTGGAACCTCGCTGAATATTTAATTTTTTTGTTAAAGATATGTTTATAACGAATAATATGTTTATAAAGAAAAAAAAACAGAATCATATCTCAATTTATTATTCTTATCATGTTTAATCAAATCCTTTAGTGTAGGTAGCCTATTGTTACATAGTCTTAGATTTGAATTACAATTTTTGATAACTCAAACGAACTATTTTACATCATCATCAATGATTTTTAAGATTAGAAGCATCGTAAGAAACATGCATAAATAATTAAATTATAATTATTAAAAATATCTTGAAAAACAGGATTAATAAAACCACATAACTAAATAAGTGTACACAACTTAAAAAGTAATAATAGTATATAAAATATGCAATTATTAACATTATATTTCTATTTATTTTATTAAAAAAAAAAATGTTATGTTGACATCTTAAATTACTAGGTATTACAAAACTTATTCAGTTATTAAATGCCATTTGTCTAAATAATATACACAAAGTCATTTACTGCGATTTACAAATTGATTGTTATTTGAGCCCTAAATATTCCTTGGCGTTTAACTTTTTCAAATGTAACCCTCATTTAATTGAGCAAATAATTGTAGCAAATTGTTTCGTGTAAATTTAATTATTGTTAATCGTCAAAAGGCAATGGTCGTGATCAGTATATTGATAATGAAGGTCATTAAATTAATTCGATTAAACAATACTCATTACATAATGTTTATGCTAACTAATTTACAAGCATATTGTAAACGTCAATTTGTGTTTCGTAGCATATCAAGTGAAACGAATTATATACAACTATTAGGATCTTTCGCCAACAGTGTTATAGAGTAAAAATTGAAAATAGCAAAATACTTTAAATTTTGTAAAATTTACACATTCAGATGTTATGACGAGTTTCAGTTTTAGTACAAGTAAATAAGCAACAATTCCGTTCACAGTTTTATATCGTCGATTGCGGGGAATTTGTCATTTCGATTGCGACCTCTCGTTGGGCTTTCTTAACGGGTGTGACGTCTGGAGTGTTCACTGCGGTTTCCTGGCCTGGCTCGATGGACGCCGTCACCAACTCCGTCGTGGCAGTCGGCTCCGACCTTAAGGAAACGTTGTCCCTCGCCGTTAGGGAAGTCCGGGTCGATTTTCGGCGTTTGGAGGTTTTTCTCAAGTACGGTGTCACCTTCTGCGGGTAAAAGTGACGTGTAATTGAGTTGAAGTGGTTTCATTTAATTTCAATATCCGCCCAATGTATAAATAAACGTATCGGTCGGTTAGTAAAAACGTCTCGCCACTATCTTATTCATTAATATGATGATGGCAGATATATAATATAATTAAAATAATAAAATTCTACGGTAGCTTATACAGCGTGTTGTTACAACCGCGACAATAAATGAACACACGTTTTAGGCTACTTGCCAATAATCATAAAAAATATGAAACGTTAAAAAATCCATAATTAAAAATATGTATTTTTCAAACAAACTAATTAAATAAAAAAGAAACAAAATTTGTTACACCTATACAACTACAACTGACTGATTCATACTTTAAGAGACTTTTTCATTCGTTGCCACAGCGTCGTATTACAAGTCTCTCCTTCTAACAGTATGTTTTATCTCTTTTAAATTCTTTCAACCCATTCATATGCTTTGTGAAATTTACAAATGAACTTTACGTTACAGTTTTATACGTAAGGATGTTTTAAAATTCTTTGTTTTGGAAAATTTAATAACTCGGTAAATATTGATGTTTAAAGAATGTAAATGCTTAATACAATTTTAAAAAGTTATCCTCTATATGTGTGTTTATTTATTGTCGCGGTTGTAAAGACACGCTGTATATATCAAATATAGGAGAGGTAACAAACTCGCACATTTTTAGTGTAGAGTTAATTTAGAATGAGAATAATAATTATGAAACCTAATTAAAATAGTTTATCAATGCTCAGGGCTCCATAATTAAAATTTACAGCTCTTAGTTGTTGTACATGTATATCACATAATATGCTTAACTTTCGGCCAAGAACGGATTTACATATAGTTAAATTATGTATGTATAATTAGGAACAGTTTTAGACCAAACAATATATACTAACATATAGAAAATTATATGCTACTAGCATATAACTTTGTATTCATAGAAGACAAAAACAAACTAATAAACAAAGTTAAAATTTAAATCTTAAAGCCGTGCAGGCTAAAGCGCGCGCACATTGCGTGTGCGTGCGCTTATGTATATGTACTCGTATATGTACTTTGCCTATTTATTTTATTCTATAAACTAGTTGCCTGGACACACTTCGTTCTTTTTTTTCTAATAGTATTAAAACCTTCCGAGGACCTTAAGAAACATACCAAAAATTAATTAGCTGAATTGGTCCAGCCAGTTCTTGAATTATGCGCTTACCAACATTCATTTGTATTTATTAGATTTACGCTCGTTTTGCGACGATCATCACATCTACGACATCTACGACGATCAGTGCTTCAGAAACCGGGCGTAAGAAGATTGCATTTGACAAAGCCAGTAAGAAGGTTCTAAGCGTGCCTGGTTGGGGTCGCGCACGAGTCGGACGGCGGTGCGGCGCACCACGAAGTCCCTGGCGGTGAGGCAGCGCGCGAGCAGCAGGGCGGCGGCGCAGGCCCAGCTCGCCCAAACGCCCGCGCTGGCGGCCCGGGTCGCCGCCGCCCGCCCCCCCAGGCCCCACGCCGCACCCGCGCCCCGCTCCACGTAGGCGTTCGCGCTCGAGCACCTGTCGCGTTAGACAAATTAAAGAATTATGTACGGGTATTTGTCTGATGAGTCAAAAACAATGTTATTAGGCTTATCGTCAAGTAAGTTACGTTGACTACCCGCGCACAGCCTACTCTTAAAAGTTTACTCTTAAAGTTATTTTTTTTTTGATTATTTTTATAAAGTTGCCAAGCGAGCAGACGGTTCACCTGATGTTAAGTGAATACCGCCGCCCATGGACATCTGCTACAGCCGAAGGTTGCAGATGCTTCGACAACCCTTTGGAGATTGGGCTCCGGCCACCTCGCTCATCAGACGAAAATATTATACTTCCACTTTACGCCGTCTTTTTTTTTTTTTTTTTTTATGCGAAAAGTTGTCAAACGAGCAGACGGTTCACCTGATGTTAAGTGAATACCGCCGCCCATGGACATCTGCTACACTCGAGGGTTACAGATGCGTTGACAACCTTTTGAAAATTGGGCTCCGGCTACCTCACTCACCAGACGAAACGCGAAAGTATTTGTCATACTTCCACTTTACGCCGGTCTTCTGCGAGATCGTGGCACTTACCCGGACGAGCCTGCCCATTCGTGCAAAAGCCGAGGCTACTGCGTGGCCCTATCACCGTTAAATATACAGGTATTTGTCATCATCATCATTTCAGCCTGTTCGAGCCACTGCTGAACATAGGCCTCCCCCATAGACATGGTGTTTGTCTAATTAGTCTAAAACAATGTTATTAGGTTATCGTCAATCAAGTTATTTTACTACCCGCGCACAACCTACTCGTAAATTTAGTTTAACTTATTCAATTTATTTTTTATTTAGTTTTATTTTTTAGTTTTATTTGTACAGTCATGTGGTGTATCTTAAATCATCTACTTAGCTTTAAGGCACTCTATGCAGTAAAAATAGGGTTTTCAAACGTCTGTTTTTATCAAAATCTGTACATTTTATAGCAACAGAAAAAATATGTTAATCTTGATCGTACATTCTAATCGCCCATTGTTTTCAAAACATATTCTCGATATAATTATTCACTTTTCATCAGGTGAACCGAATGCTCGTTTTGCAACTTTTGACATAAAAAAATGAAATGAAATTAAATGTAAGTTTAATAGTAAAAACTCTCACGTAGTGGTGTTGGTGATGTTGAAGAAGGCGGCGCAGAAGTCCTGGATGCCGCCATTGGTCTGGATGAAGCTGTGTCCCGTCAGACCCACGAGGATCAACGAGAAGAGCAACGCTGGTACCAAAATACGCCACGGTCTCTGCAGCCTAGGTGAAAGAAGTTGGTTGTTCAATATTTTTTGAATATATTAATAATTTTTCCGTATAATTGGACAATGAATAAATATTAATAATATGATGATGAGCTTTTTTTCAGCGTAAGCTTAATAACAATTTCAGTTCTATTGGGACCTTATACTAGGCGGTGTCTGTTCAACGGATAATTTAGAACAATCATTATTTACAATTTTTAACTAGTTTTTCGCCCGCGGCTTCGCTTACTTTTAAGCCCTTAAATAAATATCTTTCAACAATTTGCAAAAGTTTTTTACAAAATAGTCTATTCATATATTTCATTTAAATCGGTTCAGTAGTTTTGGAGTGAAAGCGAGTCAGACAGACAGACAGAGTTACTTTCGCATTTATAAAATTAGTATGGATTAAACAATTCTTCTCCACCAACTATACTCTACGCCAATCGGGTCAATGGTAAGACAGGTTCGAAAATTTTGAATTCTTCAGCTCTTATCGACCCATCCCCCTTTTCTTAGCGGATAAATTATATTGTGTTCGAAATAAATGCTACAGAACTCTTTCTTGTTAGAATTAGGAAATGTATTTCATAATTCTAACAAGGGACGCAGCTTTAGCATAAACCTGTTGTTGTATAAGTTGATGTCTTCGGTGATATAAGTTCGGGAAATTCAAGGAGGGGGTGATCTTACCGCTATTAGATAATATGGAATTTTTCCTCAATAAACACCTTCAGTATGCTCTGGAGGCGGTCGCCTCCTTTCTATCCAGCTTTACTTGGTTCAGGAATTTCTTTGTAAGCACCTGGTCAGGTCGCACTGAGACACAACTCAGGCTAGGCTAATATTATATAGAGTAGCGCGTACTTAGAACATCTCGCCACATTGCAAGGCTGACTCTTTTCTTATTCTCCTCTTTTGAAGACATCACTCCTGTCAATAAGCTGCGCTGGAGCGGTGTTTAAACGTCGACTGGATCCGGAACAACTATTTCTTTATCGCTACGTTACTACGCGTTACCCAGATATTTATATCCTTACCCAGATCTCGAGTGGCCACCGCCCGGGCACATGGTGAAGAAAGTAATCCACACCGCGGCGAAGATGGTAGACATGACCGGCATATATTCAGCGAACTGGCAGTCGTTGTCTCGCGCGAACAGCGACCGGGACGTGTCTAACATCAGGCGGTGTGTCTCGTTCCCTGGGAGAACGTGAAACATTAAATGAAACTTACACCTGATACGACGACGACGACATTACTGAGTAAATTAATATAAGTAACTCTATTGTTTCGCAGACACCATATTGAAGTAGTATAATTATATAGCATAAGTAACTCCGACAACTGAGACAAATCTAATGACACCTCATATGTTGAAATCCTTCAAAAGTGTATATAGGCTGTAGACCTAGCAAAAGAATTATTTACACACATACGTTTGGAAAACATTACCACTCCAGTGTCGGTTAAAAAACGTGTGTGTTTGGGGAATACTTAGCGTTAATTTTCAATTATATTAAAAATACGAAATACAATGTTCCTAACGCCGCGTGGTCCCTACCCCTTGTTGCTAACTAGCATCTGCTAGAAAGAAAGACGCCGATAATTGAATGGAAGGCACTTACTTACATAACGATGTGTTCGTCTGTTTACTCTTATGAGGGATGATTGTTAATGCTATACTCGTTTCATCAAGCTTAATACTCCCAAACACTATAAGTTAACCTTGCCGCCGAGTACCACGATATACATAAATAGAAACGTTCCTTAGTTTACCTATACGTTTCTAAATTAGGGTATATTTTCAGAAATTAAGAGTGGACTTGAGTCAGATTTACGATTTTTATAGGACCGAATGAGAATACGTTATTCGACGGAGATGATTATCCGTCTCATATTGGTTGCCATTTAACGTAGCTGCGAAATAATTTTTTTACGAATCCTTCAAAAAATACGTCTTCACCTGTCAACATGGTAGCGTTATCTTCTTCGACCAGTACGTATTGATGATTACTAACGACGTTTGTTTGTCTTTTAGTATTATTACTATCGTTTGTTTCGTTTGCAGCGATAACTGCATTCGGCTCTGTAGCAACTTCGACAGGCTTGTCATCTCTTTGAGCACCGCCCGGGGGCTCCTTTAAGCTGTCGAATGTCGCATTAATCTTGTCGGCCGTGTTGTTGGGAAGTTCGAACGCGCGGAACGCGAGCTCACGCGGTGTCAACACACAGTTGCCGTCGATTAGCTGCATTGTGTTATGGAGGAACACGTAGTTCAGGATGCCGAATACTCCGGCCACGGAGTACAGCACCAGGTGCCATGCTGGAAGATATATGGAAAAAAATTAAAAATATCCAAATTAGAAATCGGTTAAAATGTTATTATTATAAAAACTCTTTTTTCTTTTGGGTTGGATGTGCCACTGTTGGCCTTAAGGGCCTTTACAGATCCGCCGGTGGCCGGGCGCTCGGGGCGCCTAGCCTGAACCTCAGTTATTATTATGGTGACTAGGCTTGAGGGCTACTGAGCGAGCCTCGGCTCGGGCCGTCACAATATAATTAATCTCACCGGTTTGGGAGGCCGTCAAGCTCTTAGGGCGTTTTGGCGGATGCTCAATGGAGTGACTATGCTAAAGGGCCACTGAGAGGGGACCTCGGCTTGGGCTGTCACTCAATACCCGTTTAGCATTCCGGTTCGATTGTGCCCGAGAGGGCCGGACCTCGGCTCGATCGGTAGCTATTATCTGACTGGAAGAATTTCTAGATCTATCATTACTACAACTTCCTAAAGCGATGGCGCTGGGAGAAAAAGTGGCGGAAGAAACTCCAGAAACGCTAGCATTAACTGGGGAAAACTCGCCAGGTACGTGGCGGAACCTAGTATGTTAGTATGTTTGCCGCACTCGCCGACGAGTGCGGTGTGTTCTTGTGTTTTATCATAACTTTTATATCCTGTCGATGGCGATAGTCATCTCATCGTCCGGGAAGTCGCGGTCTTTGGCAACTGCGGCGGAACGTATCTAGCGGTATAGGTCTGTAGGTGACGGCACCTACAATTAACGGATTGGAAAACTCATGTATTAGTACATACTAGAATGAATGTTTATACGTATCTATATATACTTGTATATAATATATACAGCATGTCGTTACAACTGCGACAATAAATGAACACACATCTAACGCTACTTGCCAATAATTATAAAAAAATTCAAAATAAAAAAAATTTGTTGCCACAGCGTCGCTTTACAAGTCTCTCCTTCTGTGTTTCATCTCTTTTAAATTCATTCAACCCATTCATATGCTTTGTGACCTTTACAAATGAACTTTACGTTATCGTTTTATACGTAAAGGTGTTCTAAAATTGTTTGTTTTGAAAAATTAAGAACTCTGTAAATATTGATGTTTAAAGAATGTAAATGTTTAATAGAATTTTAAAAAGTTATCCTCTATATGTGTGTTCATTGATTGTCGCGGTTGTAACGACACGCTGTATTACGAAATTTTTCATTTCGATTTTCATTAATTTCCATGGAATTTTACAAACAATAGGAAAGATAATAATTTTGATAAGATTGTGATAAAACGATTTTCTTACGTGGTGATTTGTGTACCTAGTAATAAAAGATCACAAATGCCTAATTAAAATATGTAAATTAAAGTAACAGCCTATACATGTCCCACTGCTGGGCAAAGGCCTCCTCTATGCAGAGGGTATCACGGCATAGTCCACCACGCGGCCCCACTGCGGATTGGCGGAGTTGACACATCTTCGAAAAATATTTTTTTTTGTTATTAAAATATGTAATTATAACTTTTTCACTTAGTTTTTGTCTATACATATATGTTTAATTAAGAGTACAAATATGTCTAACTAAAATAATAAATTGTTGAAAACCAACTTACATTTTGGGAAATACGTGTTAAAGTTTTTATCTGTCGTTCTTTATCTTAGTAGGGCATCACTACAACCGTTTAATTTCCCTTAGACGTTATTACTCACGGCCTTTAAATATGCGAAATGAAACTAACAACTATCGCTATATAAACGAAAACCTTGACGACATAAAATTTACAATAGCATACACTTTGATATTGGTATGCCATGAAATATCAAAACATGAAATATGCCATGAAATATCAAAACATGAAATTGCTGACATTTAAATTAAGCCGATAATAGGATGAAAGTCGATCCATAGGGTTTTATTTGTGTTGCCAACTTTAAAGATCTTCTGTTACCTCATTCACCATTACCTCATGCCAGAAAGGTAGAACTAAAGGGAAAGTTAATATCACGCCGCCTTCCAAGAGTTGGTCATCAAACGCCGGTCGATGGTTAAATGTCATCAAATATCTTAGAAACTTTAAAATTAGCTCAAATCAAATACGATACGAGAAAAAAAGAAATTCATAGATATTTAAAAAAAAATGCGGATGTATTAACTTTGTATGTTCAAGCATGGAAATCGTAGTGATTATCGTTTTGTATTCAGTTCGTAAACAACTTAGCATTACAAAATACCGCTGACCGAGGAAAGTGTCGTATAAGTACCCACAACTTCGCGATACCCAAGATTTTATCAACTCTGATACCGTGCGACTTGTGCCTTTTCTATAACAGCTGCTTAATTTCTCAGGCTAGTTCTTTCTCTGAACGTGACGTCGACACGACATTCCTCGTGGAAGGATTTAAGCTGACTTCTTCGTCTCGGTTGGTAGGTTACCTATCTCAGATGATCTTTGTCCATGTGCATTTTATGTCCGAGTATCTAATGCGTCTTCACAGTGCAAGTAACGTTATCCTACCGGAATACACAGTTGCAATAAAAAGAAGGTTAAAAAGCTGGATCCTCCGGATTCAATAATAATTGATAACTTTTAAAAAAGATAGTATGTTAAATCCATATGTTGGCTGTTATAATATTGACTGCCAAAAACTCGGCGAGTATATACATATATTATGTACATATTACATATTATATTCTTGAATGCCATTTTAATATATTTATCTGGTTTTGACTAGGTGTCTACACAAAGAAACAAATAAATAACTTAATTTATGTGGAATAGGGTCTATTCTATTTCTGATGAAGCGAATCCTTGCGACAGTAGTCTTGGAGTAGACATATCTCCTACTACCCCTAATGTAATAATAGCAAAAAAATCAGGGCCAAGTTTAAGACGATACAACTACCACGTAACTCTGTCTAATCCCTCAGACAGAAGCTATTTGGAAATTTCCGCTCAAAACGAATAAATACAAAAATAACATGCTCCCATGACGATGTTACACATAATCAAATCTTCATTACCATTACAATATATTAAAAAATTATTAGGCTATGATCTTATTTGATTTGTTTGTCGGCGACATCGATAAAATATATCATAACGTATTATGTTTAAGGTTCACATTAGGGTATACACGCCGATGGTGTTACTGTTTCTATATAAAAACGATGACGGCATTTTATAGTGTATCAAGTGCTTATGTTTAAGTTTTGGCCTTCAAGAATTGTTCGGAGTGCTGGTCCGAGGTCGTTTAAACAAAATGTATATGTATTTTAAACGATAAGGTACAAAACAATCAAGCGAGTTATATATATATATTACACTCTATAAAATATACACCAGGATTCATGGTGTTTACAAAGGCAAGTGCGTGTTTTTTACATTTATATATGTAACAATGCCAATTAGATGAGGTTAAAATCCTATCGATTTCTTATACGGAGAATTTTTTTTTATAAATTTAACAACTGCGGTGGTATAAAAAGGCATCAAATATTAGTACGGAGTTCGGTTGATTTCCTATTTACATTATTAAAATACGAATATCTATAAAATATACTTATATTCTGTAACTGTGTCATATATGCCAAGGGTCAGCAATATTTTAGTAGTTCTGAAATAAGTTTTTTTTTTAAATTTTGTCTAACTTTTTAGCGTATAAGTCAAATCCCCGGCGTTTCCAAAACGTTTCCGACTCCTGATATATGCAAATTTGAAACTTTGTCAAATACAAAATGAAATAGCATTACCTTTCCATGCGTTGAGATATCTAGAAGCCCGCTCCTCCAGCTCGCAGTTGTCATAGATGAGGATCGTCATCGTTGATTGTATCGTTCAATCCTGGAACAATATTATTACCTGTATTTTAGTACACATTTTACACCTCAATATTACCTAGTCTTTGTCATAATGGATGTTTGCTCTTTCAGATCGTAGACTATGTAGAGCTTCATCGAACACAGAGCTCGTGGAAAAGTACGAACACAATAGACGCTACCTGAGCAGTCACGCATGTGAACATGCGTGCAATAACATGTAAACATGCGTGCAATGACAAAGTGAGGGGATTGCCGGCTTTGGGCTGTGGGGTCCCTGACATCCACCAATAATATGATAGAGCCTCGCAACAGTTTTGCTTCTGCGTGAATGGGCAATTCTGGGAAAGTTCCAAGGCCTCATAAAACCTTCTGCGTTTCGTCTGGTGTATGAAGCAATGGGGGCCCACGTTTTTAAAAGGCAACGGGTTCACATTTGTCCATGGGCGGCCGTTATTACTTAAATTCATATTGTTTTCTTGATTTTACGCGAATATTATACATATTAAATGAAACTACTTTACGGATTTTATCGCGTTTTATATTTTAATTTAAATTCCCGACGTTTCGAACCCTTTCCAGCGTTCATGGTCACGGGACAGACTAAGTTGTTAGACGTCTTGATGTCATAGTTAACCCCGGCTACCGTCAATTATTTTGTTTATTTTTATTCCGATCCACGCAGAAGGAGCTTATGGTATCTTGAGGTCTGGCAGTGTTGGTGTGCTTGGATTTAATTTTATAAATTATGGGATCCCAAGCAGATGATAAGCTCCAACCATCTTCTCTATTGAAATTAGGATGTTTCTTTATTTCAATAGCCTCGCGGATCATCCTTGGAAGGAATCGGTATTCTTTTGCGAGGATTTTCGGTTGATCAAATCTAATGTAGTGGTTGGGGCGGTCTAAAATATGATCACAAACTGCAGACTTCTTCAACCGTCTTCACCGTCGGTGCTTCACGTCAGCTATGTGTTCTTTAATTCTGGTTTTAATTGATCGTTTTGTTTGTCCTATGTAAGAGAGCCCACAATCGCAGTCAAGCTTGTACACTCCTGGATCTTGTAGAGGGATATTACACTTGACAGATGGTAAAAATTGACTTATCTTCTTCGGTGGCTTGAAATATGTTTTAATTGAAGCACGCTTCAAGATATAGCCAATCTTGTCAGTGACTCCTCTGACATATGTCAATACAGCAGGCACTCGCTCGGCTGTGGCTGGTTTCACTCGGTCACTGTGACGCAGCCGCGGGATTTGGAGCTTGTTGTCTCGCAGCACTTGCTTGACATTGTGTAGCTCAGCGGCCAGGTGTTCCTTGTCACTATACGCTTGTCGCAATAACGCCGCGAAAAGTCCCGTACGAGCAAATTATCTGCAGTGTAGAGGACTGTCTGTATAAAAATAATATCGGTAAGGAAGATTCGGAGGCCATACGCCAAGACATATCGTCTACGTTGCGTCGCAGTTCAGTGCCGAAACTAAATCTCCCTAAACGTGAACTAAACGCGTTAAATAACCTACGCAACAATACAGATTTAACGATCCTCCGCGCGGACAAAGGTAACGCTACGGTTGTTATGGATACGTCAGACTACAATTTAAAAATTAAAGAACTTTTGTCGGATGAAAGTACATATAAAAAGGTCAAAAGACCCCACAACAAAAACACTTAAATTAACTAGCGAACTCATAAAGAAACACTCCGAAAAATTGAGTCTGGACGTCAATTCGATAATACCTTCTTGTGCAAAACCCCCAAAATTGTATGGGTTACCTAAAATTCACAAAACCAATGCTCCATTACGCCCAATTGTCAGCCAGATCGACTCACCAACTTATAGACTGGCCCAACATCTTGTTAAGATCCTCTCACCACTCAGAGGACATACAAACTATAATGAAACTATGGTTAGCTTTGACATACATTCTTTATTTACATGCTTACCTATAGAAGATTGTATCTCAATAGTTACTAGAAAGCTTAAGGAGAACAACATGCCTATAGAATATGCATTACTGCTCAAACATTGCCTCACATCTGGCTATCTATTGTGGAAGAAAGAATTCTACATACAGTTGGATGGTGTAGCAATGGGCTGCCCAGTATCTCCCATTGTCTCAGACATATTTATGGAAGACTTTGAGGAGAAGGCCCTTCAAACAGCACCCGTTCAACCTAGATTTTACAAGCGGTATGTAGATGATACTTTCACAATTTTACCATCAGACAAAGTAAATGCATTTCTAAACCACCTCATTTCCTTACACACTAAAATTACATTCACTATGGAATTAGAGACATGAAACTCCTTAGCCTTTCTAGATGTATTAGTCATCCGAAATCTTGACAACACCTTGAGCCATACTGTGTATAGAAAGGAGACCCATACAAATAAATATTTAAATGGTGATTCTCACCACCACCCTTCACAGTTAGCTACTGTTGGTAAATGTTTGTTACAGAGAGCACGAGGGATCTGTGACAAGGAACACCTGGCCGCTGAGCTACACAATGTCAAGCAAGTGCTGCGTGACAACAAGCTCCAAATCCCGCGGCTGCGTCACAGTGACCGAGTGAAACCAGCCACATTCGAGCGAGTGCCTGCTGTATTGCCATATGTCAGAGGAGTCACTGACAAGATTGGCTATATCTTGAAGCGTGCTTCAATTAAAACATATTTCAAGCCACCGAAGAAGATAAGTCAATTTTTACCATCTGTCAAGTGTAATATCCCTCTACAAGATCCAGGAGTGTACAGCTTGACTGCTATTGTGGGCTCTCTTACATAGGACAAACAAAACGATCAATTTAAACCAGAATTAAAGAACACATAGCTGACGTGAAGCACCGACGGTTGAAGAAGTCTGCAGTTTGTGATCATATTTTAGACCGCCCCAACCACTACATTAGATTTGATCAACCACTACACCGATAAGGATGATCCTTTGAAATAAAGAAACATCCTAATTTCAATGGAAGATGTCGGAATAAAAATAAACAAAATAATTGACGGTAGCTCCTTCTTCGGGGTTAACTATGACATCAAGACGTCTAACAACTTAGTCTGTCCCGTGACCATGAACGCTGGAAAGGGTTCGAAACGTCGGGAATTTAAATTAAAATAAAAAACGCGATAAAATCCGTAAAGTAGTTTCATTTAATACTTAAATTCAGTTGAACCGCCAGCTAGCTTACCACCTTCTCTGTTATGATTGGTAGTGCTACAATTTCAAAATTCACGCAAGGAGTCGACGTTTTCAATACAACTTTAAAAGAAATCTTTCACGTTACGTCCACTGTGCTAGTGAATTACAAGGACGACCTTTGCAATGCTGCGGTATTATTATTATTTTTTTAGTTATGATATTAAAAACCTAGTTACACACATATTTATTTAGAGTACGGTATGTAATAATTAGGTTTACATAAATATGTATAGTATCTAAAGTTAGGTTTTTACACAAATTACTTAATTTTAATTATTGAAAAGGAGGCCGTAAAATAATACAATTAAATTACCACCGAAGTTGTCATGAGCATATTGATTTTAATTAATTACTACTATAATAAACTAATACTACTATAAAAATGGTATTCCTTTTGTCCCTTGACGTTTCGCCAGTCACCTTTATGGACTAAGTCATGAAATAATGTTTTGATAACTAACTTTTTAAGTACCTAATAAGGGTTTTAAAATGTTCTATGACTCTTTATCTACCTTACTCGCTGTTAACATGACTGATCGATGGAGAATCAAAATGTACATACGTAGACTGTATTTCTTATATAGACGTTAAGTTCAACAGAACCAACTTCAATTTTTGGTTTAATTTAAATTTTTCATTTAAACATTTCACGTTATATACGTCACATATATGAACACAGAAGTTAACCTTGTTAGTAGCAAAAGCAGTGTTTGCTCATCAGCGGTAGGAACTTAATAACCGTTTTAAAACACGCGACATTTAACGTGATTCATTATAACTGTGATTTACTACGAATAAATAATGATAATGCCTTTGGTGTTTGCTTGACTATTCTTTGAAGCTCATTTATTTTCCAAGGAGTCTATTCAAAAACATTAAAAGGAACTTTTTTCTAAACTGATTATTTATAAATTCTAAAATGTAGATAATACTCAAAGTGGGCCAAAAAATAAGCCGTGATATCTCAGTGTCCGGGCGCTCGCCTTTAATTCAATATACTCTGCTCGAGTATATTTATATATTTATTGTATTACCTGAGTTCGATCCCCGGTGCCGGCACAAATGAAGTTTTTAACTTAAACTGCTGTCTTATCACGCGCTCCGCGGTGAAGGAAAACATCGTGAGGAAACCTGCATATTTTCGAAATAATAACAAAAAAACAATATTTCGAAGATATGTGAATTCCGCCAATCCGCAGTGGGGCCGCGTGGTGGACTATGCCCTGATACCCTCTGTATAGAGGAGGCCTTTGCCCAGCAGTGGGACATGTATAGGCTGCTATTTTTTTTTACTCAAAGTGAATACAACGTGCTAAGACCAATCACATTAAATAATATTGCCAATACAAATGGTACGACTACTGACTAGAAAAGTAATAGGAGGCCACGCATATCGAAAGTGAAGTATCCTACGGTTTATGTGTGATCTGGGATACCAGATGATATTTTAAATATTTGGCCAGTTTATTATTAAATATATTAAACCATGATAGCTGAGTGTCCGGGCGATTGCTTTTAATTCAATTGACTCGAACAACCCGAGTTCAATTCCTGGTGCCGGCACCAATGAAATTGTTAATTTTAAGTGCTGAACTATCACGGCGCTGAAGGAAAACATCGTGACCTGCATATTTTCAATATAATAACAAAAATAATCCGAAATATCCGCTAAACCGCAGTGGGCTCACGTAGTGGGCTAATTATACCCTGATACCCTCTTTACAAGAGGAAGGGAGGCCTTTGGCCAGCTGAGGGACATTTAAAGGCTGTTATTTTACTTTTATTCCTTTTATT